TCTTCCTCTGAGCCAGATTACAACTATTTGTTCAATTCTCAGCCAGTTTTCACATGCATTATTAATTCTGCAGATGTTATTTTATGCCTAATGCTGGTTTCCGCTTGTCCACTCTTTTGCATATTGTAAGTTAAAATTACACATTTAATGTCATTAAAACAGTAAAACTTTTGACATTTGACTGCTTTTGTTATTTTAATAAATGGATAATTTCAAATTAATTAGAGAAATCTTCATTTGTATTTGAATGTGATGGGTTTTATTGATTTATTTTTGAACTCAGCATCATCAAATTAGGTAATATTAGGATTTTTTTTTTGGCAAATCACAGGATTTTTTTTTTCAAAATTCAGGGCTATATAGGTTTCAGACTTTTAAAAAAAATTTTTATTTGCAACCAATTTAAAGTCTACTCCCTGTTGGCGATACTAGAGAAATTTTTGTGTCCATATGTGGTTCATCAAATATTAATATAGTAAATTACATTTTTAGAGTGCATGCCAGTGTTTCCTGATTATTTCTGTTGTACTGTTCTGTTGTACACGCAACAAGAAATTCACAGTGAACAAATAACTCTTATGAAGTGGTTCTTTTTCATTCAAAAAGATTCACAAATCAGTATTGAACTCAAAAGTGGGTTTGAATCAGACTCAGTTAATTATTCAAAACCATTATTGAGTTAAAAAATCATTTTAAACCAAGAAACGTTAGTTATTAAATATTATTTGTTCATTAGTATTAGCAGAAGTCTTATTAAAAATGCATATTCACAACAGACTTTTGTAATGAACTAATAAATAGTGTTCTAAATAAATAATTACAAGCATTTCACAATTTTTTTGGGTTATTGTCTAGCATAGTGAAGCCCAATCAAATCAACTGTAAAGTGGGTGACATGTTGGAAATGTAAAATAAATGTAACTTTCCCCCCTTTTTTAATAGGAAGAAATATGCAGTCATCTTTATCAAGTGATTTTGTCATTTGTAAGATAAAATGTGTTTTGGTGTTGACTGTGTATTTGACAGTAGTTTTTTTCAAGCACCTCGTTCCAAATCTGGTGAAATGCTGCCTTAATTTCTGACTTTTATTCAGCTTGTAATAGTTCTAATATTGCTTGGCATTTGCTTTGATTTCTACTTCAGTTTAAGTTATTTCTATTTGGATCTTCCTTAAGCAAACATGAGAATTATGTTTCTTTTTTATGTTAAGCAATAAGGTTTGAGAGGCCATGCTGTATGCGAATATATTGTGAAACAGAGTGGCCTCGAGTGCATTCAGGAGTCAGTATTTATCTGTTGTTCAATCTAAAATATGTATGTTAGATCAGCTCAAAAGCTGTCCCTGAGATTCATATAGTCTCTCAATACATAAGTGAATATCCTTCTCCAAACTTCACACGGATTCTTAACGAAAACACACTTGCATGCCGTCTGTTCTCACTTCACCTCCAGCTGACTTGGATTTTTTCTATTCCCGGGGATTTTCACTCTCACCAGCATGTGTTCTGAAGTCTATGAGCTGCCACTGATACTTTTCATGTGTCACTTTTGCTTTGTTCTGTATGTATGGAAAATACTACAAATGCAGTTTTGTTGCTGCTGAGACTGTATTCAGTTGGGCTGCATCAGTGCTGCGTCATATTTAATGCTCAATATTTAATAGATGTACCAGGTTTGGTTTAGTAAGCATGAAGACAGATATACTGACATGCTTTTTCTCTGTTCTAACCAGCGGTGAGGCAGCTGAAGGAAGCTGTGGACTCATCCATTAACAAGCTGTCCAACTTTGACGGTAAGAGCACAGATTGTGTGTTTTTAATCGACACTAAGAGCATTTTCACACTTCGGATTTCGGTGTGGTTCATTTGAGGTGAACCACTCAAGAAATGGAGAAGAGACCTGACTTGTTTTCCTGATTTATTCCACAGAAGTCATTGATGCACATCTTCAGAATAACCAGACGACCGTGGACAACAGCTTGGCCAGTCCAGACAGGCTTAAAGGTACCGTCACATTTCTGTCACTTTCATCTAAGTTTCATCAAGTCTGTTTCTTTCTAAATTAAGCTAGGTTACAGAGAGAGCCATCACATTACCATATGATGCAATCTGATAGCAATGAAGGCACATAGTTTCACCCCTGGCCTCTATTTAAAACCAAATTAAACAACTGCAGTCTCTGGGTGGCAGGAATGAGCATTATGGTTATTTTTAGCATCCTCAAAGAGCATGATGAGCTCTAATAAGATCATAAT